CATCAAAATCACTATGTGACATAAAACAATAGATTGCGGACGCCCGTGGTAGATTAACATCTGTCGTGTTGCTGGATGGAAACAATCGACTGTTGACAATGGTGAGCCAACACTTGGCCTCCCAATTCAGACAGTGGGAGTTGAGAGTAGTCATGTGCTTGATCCATAGGTGTTCTCCGTCCGACACACAGATAGTATCAAGAAGAGTACCCCACAAGGCCTGTGTTCTGCTAAAAGTATGATAAGGATCAAAGTCACCCCGAAACACAGGCAGTCTGTATACCCTGCGTATGGCGTCAAGGGATGCATTTACCGGGGTATTGCGCACCATCATAACCCCATTCTCATGTTCTGGCAGGTTTGGATAGAACTCCCTTACTAATTGAACATTATCCTCCTCCGGTACCTCGAAGAAGATGTCCAGCTGACACCGCTGCAGCTCATTCAACATATTGGGTCATTCCACCTCCAAAGCCATTCGATCAATGTGTACCTCTGGTTGTAACTTCTTAGCTGCTTTCTGGTTGTACCTATTCTCTGTTACGCTGGAGACAAACCGAGTGCTATTGAACTGAGGTGCACTAGCTTGGCTCCTAGATCGTGAGGAGCTTCCCGGTCCACTGATGGAGGGTCCGGTGTTTCGTCTCTTCCTAGAGGAGCTCATTGTACATGTCATACAATGAAACGCCTATTAGTGAGTGCGCAAAATATGTGACTATGGATGGTTACTCAGACTTCACCATACCCATGTCACAATAGCTCCTTATATCTCCATTAAGGCAATTTCCCAAACACCTTGTGAGCAAGGCACTACCCAGACACATCTAGCCCGCATGGGTACATCCAAGCTCTTCCCCAATCAAGTATACTACCACACCAACACACCCCACACTTACTGCATTCAATCACCCACCAATAACACCGTTCAAACATGCAATTCACACCCCCTTCACCAAGAAAACTTAAAAACGAAATGGAAAAGCAAAAATAAGAAGAAAAGGAGTATACCAACAAGTACATCTCAACACAACATAAAATTACATAAACTACAACACAAATAACACAATGCCAAAGAAAATAGAGAAGAGTTAGAACCTTACCTTAAGGGAGGAAGGAGGTGAGGAATTAGGGATGTGGGTGGTGTGATTGAAGTAGAAGAAGAAGAAAACGAGAGGAATTGGGGAAGTTAGGGTTTAGAGAGAGAGAGAAATTGGGAATATGGGGGAAAGGGTCGTGTTTTGGGTTTAAGAGGGGGTTTTGGGTTGTAAAATTAAAAGAGGAAGAAAAGAATTAAGAAAAATGGAAAAAAAATTACCTGGACTGACCGCGGTCCACTGCGGCCGCGGTAGGTTTTAAAATCTGAGGCAGAAAGATTACACCTCACCATGGTTTACTGTGGTCCACCGCAGTCGCGGTGGGATGGAAAAATTGAGGCAGAATGTTTGCCTTCCACCGTATTTTGTCGCGGTTTACCGCGGTCGCTGTGCTGTTTTTTTTTTTAAGTTACATGAACAGCTAATCAACACACTCGTGGGTTGTCTCCCACGCAATGCCTGATTTAAAGTTGTGGCACGATGCCAACATTTGACCATCACTCCTCATCCACGTACTGGGGCTCTCCCAAAGTGATTACCACTCTATCCCCTTTTTCATCAGACATGCCAAGGTAATGTTTCAACCTTTGCCCATTTACTATGAACTTGTTTGTCCCATCTTCTGAGTCAATCTCTATAGCTCCACTTAAGAAAATTTGCACCACTCTGAAGGGTCCTGACCATCGGGACTTTAACTTACCTTGGAACAATCTCAATCTCGAGTTGTATAACAACACTCGATCTCCGGGTTTGAAGTTTTTATCCAAGATGTGCTTATCATGCATTAATTTCATCCTTTCTTTGTATAATCTAGCACTCTCAAAGGCCTGGAACCTGAATTCCTCGAGCTCATGTAATCCTGTGACTCAGTTAGTGCCTTCTGTCTCCATGTCTAAGTTCAACTGCCGCAATTGGCAAAGCGCTTTATGCTCTAGCTCAATTGGGAGGTGGCATGCCTTACCAAACACCAACCTGTATAATGACATCCCAATTGGGGTTTTGAAGGCTGTGCGGTATGCCCACAATGCATTTTCCAATTTCCTTGCCCAGTCAGTCCTTGTTGCATTCACCATTTTTGTGAGGACACTTTTAATCTTCCTGTTGGACACTTCAACTTGGCCGCTCGATTGTGGGTGGTACGGGGTAGTCACTTTATGACAAACTCCATATTTTTCCAACAGCCGTGCGAATGCTCTATTGCAGAAATGGGTTCCGCCATCACTGAGTATAGCTCTTGGGGTACCACAATGCGTGAAAATGTTCTTCTTTAGAAATCCTAGTACCCTCTTAGCATCATTGGTCGGGAGAGCCACTGCTTCGAACCACTTGGATACATAGTCAACTGCTACCAATATGTACTTGTTACCATACGAGCTGATGAATGGCCCCATTAAGTCAATCCCTCACATGTCAAAAATCTCCACCTCTTGATTTGTGGTCATTGGCATCTCGTGTCTACGAGATATGTTGCCGGTTCTTTGGCATTCATAGCAGCTTTTAACCCAAGCATGGGCATCCTTGAACAGAGTAGGCCAGTACAAGCCTGACTCCAACACCTTAGCTGTTGTCTGAATCCCTCCAAAGTGTCCACCATATGGTGAAGCATGGCAAGCCTGCAAAACAGAATGTTGATCTTTCTCGGGGATACACCGCCGGATCAAGTTATCTACACATATTTTAAATAATAAAGGTTCATCCCAATAATAATATCGACAATCACGAAAGAACTTTTTCTTTTGAATTGAGGAGAGTTCATAAGGTACAATAACACTTGCTTAATAATTAGCAATATCAGCATACCAAGGTGCCTCCTCCATTGTCATTGCCAGTAATTGTTCATCCGGAAATGTCTCTGTTATATCCTAAACCTCTACCTTCTTTAAACTCCTTCCAACCTTGAGAGGTGGTCAGCTACTTGGTTCTCTGTCCCTTTCCGGTCACGTATTTCCAGATCAAATTCTTGTAACAGAAGAACCAAGCGAATCAAGCGTGACTTTGACTCCTTCTTTTCTATCAGGTATCTAATTGCTGCATGGTCAGTGTAAACAATAACTTTCGAGCCAATCAAGTATGACCTGAATCTATCGAATGCAAAAACAACAACCAACATCTCCTTTTTCCGTCACAATATAATTGAGTTGTGCATCGCTCAGTGTTCTGCTTGCATAATAAATCGGGTGCATCAATTTACCTTGTCGCTAACCCAAGACTGCTCCTATGGTGTAGTCACTGGCGTCACACATGAGCTCAAATGGTTGCTCCCAGTTGGGTGCAGTCACCAATCTCTTCTTCAGTTCCTCAAATGCCAACCTGCATTCATTAGAAAACACAAAGGGGTGATCCTTTTCAAGGAGTTTGCATAATGGGTTAGCAATTTTGGAGAAATCTTTGATGAATCGCCTGTAGAACCCGGCGTGCCCTAGGAAACTTCTCACCGCCTTGACCGAAGTGGGCAGTGGTAGTTTTTCAATCACGTCAACCTTGGCATGATCGACCTCAATTGCCTTACTCGACACTCGATGTCCCAGGACTATCCCTTCCTGTACCATAAAATGGCACTTTTCCCAGTTCAACACTAAATTTGTCTCCACACATCTTTTAAGCACTCTACTTAAGTTGTGAAGACGATACTCAAATGAATCTCCCACCACGGAGAAATCATCCATAAAGACCTCCATAATATCCTCCACCATGTCTGTGAAAATGGCTAACATGCACCGTTGAAATGTCGCTGGTGCATTGCAAAGCCCAAAAGGCATTCTCCGAAAGGCGAAGATGCCATATGGACAAGTAAAGGATGTTTTCTCTCTATCTTCAGGGGCTATTGATATCTGATTGTACCCCGAATAACCATCCAAGAAACAGAAGTGCGAGCGCCCGGCCAGCCTGTCCAACATTTGGTCAATGAAAGGCAAGGGGAAGTGGTCCTTCCGGGTGGCTGTGTTTAATTTTCGGTAATCCATGCAAATCCGCCATCCCGTGGCTGTACGAGTTGAGATCAACTCATTGTTCTCGTTTTGCACAACAGTCATTCCCTTCATTTTCGGCACACATTGGACAGGGCTGACCCAATTGCTTCAGAGATGGGGAAGATGATTCTCGTATCTAACCATTTGATCACTTCCTTCTTTACTACCTCTTTCATGTTCGGGTTCAGCCTTCGTTGATATTCTCTGGAAGGTTTGTGCCCTTCTTCCAAGAGAATCTTGTGCATACAGAAGGCTGGGCTGATACCCTTTATGTCTGCTATGGTCCAGCCAATGGCAGTCTTACTTTCCTGCAGTACCTGTAAGAGTTGTTCTACCTACACATCTAACAAACCGGATGATATAATAACAGGCAACGTAGAGTCGGGGCCTAAGAAAACGTACCTGAGGTGAGCTGGGAGTGGCTTCAGCTCCAACTTGGGTGGTTCCTCTACCGATGGCTTTGTTGGAGGTGTAGCCCTTTTTTCTAACTCAAGGGACTCGAACTGAGGTTCCCTTTTCCAAAATCCTTGGCCTTCAAGTGTCATGACCCACTCAGCCAACCCTTCACCATCCATTTCTTCTAAATTTATCAGACATGCCTCCAATGGATCTTTAGCAGTCAGAGTCACATCCTCTTCTTGCAGGATCACATCCACTGCCTCCACTAGAGAGCAATTCGCATATTCACTGGGTCTCCTCATAGATTGCTAAACATTGAATATGACTTCTTCATCGTTCAGTCTCATTTTTAATTCCTCAGTCTCACAATCGGTCAGGCTCTCCCAGTGGCCAAAAATGGCCTACCTAGAATGATAGGTATCTCCTCATCTACCTGACAATCCATAATAACAAAGTCTGCAGGGAACACGAACTTCCCCACTTACACCAATACATCATCAAGAATTCCAGTAGGTCTTTTTACCGTGCGGTCAGCCAGCTACAGCAACATCGAAGTCGGTCTAGCTCTACCAATGCCCAGTTTGGTGTATACATCCAGAGGCATCAAATCTATGTTGGCTCCCAAATCACATAATGCCTTTGCAAAGGCGTAACTCCCAATCGTGCACGGAATAGTGAAGCTACCTAGGTCAGACATCTTTTGAGCCATTGGTCTGGTCACTACTGTGTTGCAGGTCTGTGTCAGAGTTACTGTGGATAGATCCTGAAAATCAAACTTCTGTGACATTAGGTCTTTCATCATCTTAGCATAACCTGGCATCTCCCTCAAGGCATCCATCAAAGGAATATTCAACTGAATTTGACGCAACATCTACATGAATTTCTTGTATTGATCTTCCTTCTTTTGTTTTACCAGTCTCTGAGGGAACGATGCAGGTATCACCTTTTGTGCACTGCTTGCTGGCTTCTCTTTGTTGGGGTTCTGTGGCATAAGAGGAACCACCTGTTCTGTAGCTTGTTCATTTACCTTAGCCTTACCCTTTTCATATTGACCCTGTTCAACTACCACTTCAATCAGATTTGTTGGTTCATCTACCTCTAGTGGAATTGGAGTGGCTGGCGTAGTCTCCTTGTTGGCCTGTGCAACCTCCTGCTCTTTGTCTAGATCTCTCCCATTTAGAAGACTTACTGCCATTAGCTGATTCGGGTTTTGCTCCTTAGGGTTAATATTTGTGTCCGCTGGCAATGTCCCCTGGAGGCGATTGTTTAAAGCCATAGACAACTGCCCCAACTGAGTTTCAATGTTCTTTATAGCTGAATCATGTACTGCCNAACTTTTCTTGCATCTTACCATTTGTCCCAATGAGTTGCTGGAGCATCCCCCTGATCTCTACCATGTTGTTATCTTGCTGCTGAGGAGGTGGCTGATATGTCAACTGTTGTTGGTTCTGCTGTGGGTAGCCTTGCTGTCTCTGGTGGTATGGCACCATTTGGCCTTGAGCTTGCATGCCCCCAGGCTGAGGCATGTTGGGTCTGTATTGTTGATTTGGTGCAGGTCTCCACTATTGCCCTCCTTGTCTCTGACCCCCAAAGTTGTTAACATAATTCATATCTTCCCTTGCCCCTTGATTTTCACCTTCTCCGCTCCATGAACACACATAAGACTAATTAACATAGGGTGTACACAATCCTCCATTTGTCGTACTAACAATATGCACCTGTTTGGTACCCATCTCATCTATCTTCTTTATCAAAATACTCATCTGAGTTAGAAGTGTGGCCATGTTCTCTGCTTGCGAATTATTTGGGTCAAAAGACACTGAATGCACTATGGGTTCCAATGTTGTACCTCTAGTCATCCACCCCGAATTCTGGGACATCTTGTCAAGAAGGACTTTGCACACGGTGAATGTCTTACTCAAAAATGCACCTCCAGCTGAAGCATCCACATTGGCCTTTAGATTATCAGCCAATCCCATGTAGAATCTCTGTCCAAGCATCTGGTCTGGAATGCCATGGTGAGGGCACTTAACCAGCATCCCTTTAAATCTTTCC